CTACTACTACTATTACTACTACTACTACTACTACTAGCACCACCGAACGAACAGTACGGAATCAGAACAGAATGAGGGATAGTACACAACATATACATGTACAGATATATATATGTATATATATGATATGTATATATGTACATATATGTATATTTTTTATGTATAGACACATACACACATAAAACAGTGCACTCGACAACAGAGTAGGACAGCTGAGCCACCACTGCCCCACCAGTTTTATGTAAGAGACATCTTGCACCGTGTCCACGGTACCTTCCGCGAAGGTTGAGCCCGACACGGGCACACGAATAATCGTAATACTTTACGTTAAAATTACACACTACACCACTGCACTAGACCAAAACTTCAGCTAGGCTACCCCATCGACGACAACAACAAATATGGCGAGCAAACCTCCTCCTGCGCCTCGCTGCAACGAATGCCGACTGTCCGCTAGATGGCAATCGGAACGCCGCCCCAACGACCCCTATCCGTCGCATCGTTTCGGCCGTATTCGGACTTTCTCGGATTTTGTTCCGATCGTTTCGCGGCATTTTATTCAAATACGAAATGTCCCGTTACAACAATCCTTTCCTTTTTTAAATAAATATTAAAAATTCGAATGGATCATTTGTTATTGAATATTGATATTAATAATATTAATTGAAATTATGATATTTATATATAGATAAAAATATTTTGTAATTGTAACAACTGTAATATTACAACATTACGTCAAATAAAATTTATATTACATCTTTCTTATATTTTTTCTTTACTTTTTATACATATATTTTCGCGAGTTGAACTAAATACATTAATGAACTAAATACGAATTTATACAGTCAACTATATCTATGTTACCTGAAATATCTAGTAACTTTTTTAACCAACCACTTTGCATGAACATTTCGCGGTCTTCTACCATTTACAATTTTATTGTACTACGTATGATTACTAGTACTGAGATTCTAATAATTATTTTAATAAACGAAGTGTGCAACAATACTTGTTATTTGAATTATTATTTATTACAGTATTACGTTCCTCGAAAGCACTTAATAATATTAAAGGTTACATATGAAATAAAATCATAATTTCTGATAATTTTAAGTAAAAATATTTAGCACACAAAATGTCATCCGGTAAAAATCGTGAATCAAAAAAAAATCCAGATGATACAATAAAAATTTTAATTGCGACCGATATTCATCTAGGTTTTGAATATAACAAAAAAAGAGGTTGGTTTTTATAACTTGTTCTCGTACTAAAACGAAGTATTATTCATAATATTGTATTAATATTCATTGATTATTATAAGGTCAACAAACAGAAGATAGCTTTATAACATTCGAGGAAATTCTTCAGTGTGGTGTAAATCAGGATGTGGATTTTATTCTTCTCGGTGGAGATCTATTTCATGACACCAAGCCAACACAGACTGTAATGTTAAAATGTATGGAACTATTAAGGAAATACTGTTTAGGTCCTAAGTAAGTAAAACTAATTCTGTTATACCTTTTATACGTTTTAATTGAAATATATATCATTTATTAGGGAGATTAAAATTCAATTCTTGAGTGATCCAGAGATTATATTTCGCCATTGTGCCAATAAAATTGTGAATTATGAAGATCCAAACATAAATATCAGTATGCCAATATTCTCCATTCATGGAAATCATGATGATCCAAGTAAGAAATATTATTTATCTCAGAAGCAATCATAATATTTCTTCAACTTACTTTTTGTTGGTAATGATATAACAGGCTTTGGAGCTGTTGGATCAATGGATTTATTATCAGTATCTGGCTTAATAAATTATTTTGGAAAATGGACAGACCTTACTAAAATAATTGTACCTCCTATAATTATAAAAAAGGGTGAAACACATGTTGCACTGTATGGTTTAAGTTATATAAATGATCAAAGATTATCTAGATTGTTAAGAGATTTTAAGGTAAAGTTATCAGAAAGTATATTTATATAATACTTTTCATGTATTTTTATTAAGCACTTTTTATAGGTAGATATGTTACGTTCAAAAGAGATACCAGATTGCTTCAATATATTTGTTATACATCAAAATCGATCACCGTATAGTGAACATGGATATATTTCGCAAAATAAATTACCAGATTTTCTCAATCTTATTATATGGGGTCATGAACATGAATGTCGTATAACTCCAGAACATATTCCTGAAACTAAATATTATATTTCACAACCAGGTATAAAATATTTTGCTCAAATTATAATGCAAAAGCTTTATACATTGAAATTACAGGAAGTTCTATTGCCACTTCTTTATCTGAAGGTGAATCAAAACCCAAACATATTGGTATTTTAAGCGTGAACAAGACGCAATTTAAACTACAAAGAGTCAAATTACAAACTGTTAGGCCATTTATTTTTGACAATTTAATTATTCAAGATGAGGATATACCAAAAAGTTATACTGAGGAATTCTCTGAATCTGTATACAAATTCGTTAACAATTACATTGAGAATGAACTTATACCCAAAGCTACCATACAACTTTCTGGTCATCCTAAACAACCTATTTTGCCTCTGTTGCGTTTACGAATATTTTATAGTTCTGAGGAAGAAATCTTTGATGCAAATAAGTAAAATTTAATTTTATTTGTATTGTTTTAATTAATAAATACGGTAAACATAGTTAATATGAGATATTTCAGATTAGCACAAAGATTCTGTGATGAGGTTGCCAATCCTATGGATATGGTTGTATTTCGCAAACAAAAAGTTGCTAGTAAACATTCAAAGTCAAGTTCAATAGAGTTTGGCGACGAATTTGAAGAAATGGCACAAATTCTCTGTTATGAGGCAAATTAAAATTTATTATCATTATTGTTATTTATTATTATTTTTTAAATATAAGGGATTCTTTTAATTAGGATGAAAGAAATTGGAATAGAACTGTACAAGGAGGTATAAAAAAGCACTTTAGTTTGGAAGAGAATAAAGATAAATTAACAGTATTAAATGTTAATGGGTTAAACGAAGCATTAAATCGGTTTGTCGACATAGGAGATACAGATGCTTTTACAAATATTGTAACTCATCAGATAAAGAAAACCATTGCATACTTGGAAACCTGTGACGTTGATACTGCTGAAAGTATTCGTAATGAAATTAAAAATTTTAGAGATAAACGAATGGAAAAAGAGGAAGAAGAAACAACAGAGGTATGTTGTACTGATTAAATATTTTATCCATACAATACAATACAATAATTACAATAATATTTGATTTAGAGTTGGAATTTATATAGTTCATTATTTTCATGTTTATCATTTTGTAGATACAATCACTGTTTAGTAATATAAAAAGTAGAACACAAAGAGATATTGAAATTGACACAGATAAAGATAATAATCTCAGTGATGATGAAAATAGAAATATGCCTGTGAGCAAAAGAGGTAGAGGACGTGGACGTGGAAAAGGTAGTACGAGAGAAAAACAATCCATTCCAGTGAATCCAACTAAACAACTACATGCAAAAAGGCAGACAAAAAAAAAGGTAAACTATGAAAGTTTTCTAAGTTAGTAATTGTATATAATAAATGTATATATGTATGTGTATATTGATTATAATTATTTATTATATTGTTATATAATATAGGATCAAAGTGTATTAGATAATTATGTGTCATCATCACGAAAAACTGAAAAAATTGTGTTGATAGAAGATTCTGATTAAAACATAATAACTGATAAAATATAAATAATTAAAACTGATCTGTCAAAAAAATTATGTTATATGTTATATGAAAATAAATTAAGTTTTTATATTTATTAAACGTTTCTTTATTAGACATCGATAATTATTTACCTTCCCCAAAATTATTTTTATATTTCTATTTTATTTTTTCATTGAATATATGATTTGTACTTCGACTTTCGATACTATCGAAATCGAACTTGAGCGCTACAAACCGGAAGTTACTTTCCTTTAGCCTTCCTGCGTTGGCCGTGTTGGGTGAGATTCTAGTAGATTCAATTTAAAGGTATTTTTATTTGAAAAACTTATCGTTTTTTAAAAAATAATATCTTAAATGTATAAAGTAAATATGTTTGAATAAGTTGTACTCAAAGTATTTTCCTATTATTTATTTAACATTAAGATGTTGCTGGCTGAATTTTATGTCATGAGATTCGTGTATACTTCTTCTGAACCTCTGTCAAGACATAACCTCACAAAATCCAAATTTTTATGAAATCATTTTTTAAAATCTTAGACAATTAAATTTTAGAACGTTGTAACACTGTAACTATATGTATTTCTAAAAATATATAATATTTTATATAGAAATGCCGCCGAAACGAGGAAAGGTACAAAAAGAAGAGGTTCAAGTATCTCTTGGACCCCAACTCCGTGAAGGTGAAGTTGTTTTCGGTGTTGCCCATATTTTTGCAAGCTTCAACGATACATTTGTTCATGTAACCGATCTTTCCGGAAGGTATGTTAAATGAAAATTTTTAAAACTTTAAATGATCGGATGTTTCATACTTAGAAGTTGTTTTAAACATTTTGTACAGAGAAACTATTGCACGAGTTACCGGTGGAATGAAAGTCAAAGCAGATCGTGATGAAGCCTCGCCATATGCTGCTATGCTTGCCGCTCAGGTAAATAAAATTACAATATTTATCACAGATATATCCACATTCAGGCAGCTCCTAGATAGTATTATTTAATCATAGGAGCGTTCATGTATGTGGTAAATCAAATTTCTTTCTAGATATGGAAGTGTGCTTTCATAAATCACTTCTTTACCTGGGAGAATACATTTCATAGAAAAACATACATATAATTATTTGTAATAAGTTTTAACATTGTAAAATTAACAAAATTTAAAATTTTGTAATTGTTTACGCAGGACGTAGCAGAGAAATGCAAATCCCTTGGAATTACAGCACTTCACATTAAATTAAGAGCAACTGGAGGTAACAAAACAAAAACCCCAGGACCAGGTGCACAATCCGCTTTACGTGCGCTTGCACGTTCTAGTATGAAAATTGGCCGAATTGAAGATGTCACACCGATTCCATCTGACTCTACACGTAGAAAGGGTGGTCGACGTGGAAGAAGGTTATAAATTATGTTTTTATGTGTGGTTTATTAACTTTCAAAAATAAAATCTTTTAAAAAACGCTGTTATGTTTTTATATTCTTCTTATTTATACAATTTATAGTGAAATTCTATATAATATTAACTGATATCAAATGCAGTGTTCACATATTATCATTTATACATTTTTATATGAATTCATGACATAAAGAATCCTTGAAATTTCTCAGATGTAAATATTAAAAGAAATTATGCATTTATTAAAAAGTTGTAATAAAATAAACATAAATTAATGTTTAAATAATAAATAATACATATTATATATGTGCAGTTTGAGTCAATTATGGAAGTTTAATATTTATATGACATAATAATAAGCATTAAGCACTTCCAACAATATTGCCAATAGTAAGATAAAGTTTAACTTTGAGATCTAGTTTTTGAGGTGCTTTGTGTTCCAATGTAGTAATTGTATTCACATATCTATACTGCATAACAAAACCGATTACAATTGGTTGATTGTTGTTCTCTTCTATATTTTCATGTGGAGTTACATGCAATTTTATTACGGCTTTGTTACCTTTTCGCCAAATCACGAACCTTTAATGAAATAAAAAATTAGATTATTAACGTACAAAAAAGAAAAACATCCTAAGTAAAATATTGAAAAATAAAAGTATATACTTAGGATCATCCTGAAAATTATGTGTATCGCCGGTATCGTCATACTCAGCAGCGTCGTCTCTGCGCGGTAAAATAAGACAATTTTGAGGAAGAACTACATCTGCATTTGCAGTGATTTTGATAGGTTTTGTTTCCTCTACTACAGGCACTTGTCGTACGATAGAAGGTAATAAATTTGGAGATTCAGATCCCTAAAATTAGTGCAACGTTAGAAACAGTATAATTTGGAAAATAGCAAGCATTTACCTGTTGTGCGTTATCCTGTTTAACTTCTTCCTTTTCATCTACGATTGTTAAAATAGGCGTCATTGGTGTATCCAATGGTAACAATACCACCTGAGTTTGATGTTGAGTTGGATTGCAAAACTTCAAAAGCAATTCACTTGATTTACCTGGACGAAGTGGTTCGCATGTAACGATCCTCACTTCTGGTACGTGATAACTATTAAAATAGTACATTAATATCGAGAAAAATATTAAATGGTTAAATATTAACTTACAATGCTGCAAGCTGGATCTTAAACTTTGCAGACTGTGAACAAAAATCTGGTTTACAAAGATTATGTTCGCAAACTCGACATCGTTGCGACCTTCTAACTAACAACTGTCTATGTTGGGGACGCAATTCATTTACATTTTCTGTTTGTACATCTGGCTGTTGCAATCGCTGTTCCAATGTAGTAACTGTATTAAAAAATTGCGTTTTTCAATCTTTAAATCTAACAAAATTTATTTCAATTATTTTCTATAAGTGAACACTCACTCTTAGTTATTTCTACTGGCTCTGTAAAAATATCCATCGGCAATTCTTCTACCTCTGTACTAGCAATAGCTGGAGGTGGTTGGTCAGTTGATTCAGTAGTAGGTTTTGTAGGATGTCCTATATGTTTACGAACCATAGCAGATGTTATCCTAAACATGGCCTGAAATGAAAGCAAAGATAATATCTGTTATACAAGTCAAACGATGCTTTCTAAAATGAATAATTTTATAAACAATTACAATCTGCATGTAAGGATGTTTTGGTCGAAATTTTTTCCTCTCAGACTGCTGCTTTTCTATAGAAGCTAATATTTTATGATAATCTATCAAGGTATTGATCCGGCTTGTGTGAGGGTTTTCCTGTTCAGGCCAGCCTCCAGTAGCTGATTATAACATAATATGAAATAATTATTTATTAAGAAATAATTTAACATAACAAGATAGTGACACAATAAATACTTGAATAAACCTACCCATAGACTGATCAGGAATACCAGCATCCCTTGAAGTCCATCGACATAATGAACAAGATAAATAATAAACTTTCTTTGGTGTTGTTTTAACATCTTTAGAATCTTCACCATCAGCAGGTACTACTCGTAAAGGTACATGACCAGCTCTTGTTGATAACGTTTGAAAGCAACATGGACATTTGAAACAATTCGAACATCTGTCAACATATTCATAAAATACTAGAAGTTGCAACTGATTGTACATTCAAGTGTTTAAAACGCTTACTTGTTCTTTTTAAGGCGAACTTCTGATGATGGTAAATTTTCCATACAATTAGGGCAATAATGTGAATCAACCTATTAACAAAAATGAAGATTTTATTTTTTTCATTTCTTCTTTAAACGAAAAATAATTTACGACTAAAAACGACTATTATACGATACTTGTATGTAGTACATAATTAAGTAATATTTATATAAAACTCAAAAATGAATGTACCTCTTGACAGACACAATATCCGCAACGAATCTTCGAGCAGTGCCTACAGAAATAAATCTTCGAGATCGGCTTCAAAGAACCACAATTACATACATAACACACATAATCAGGTTGATTTAAATATGACATGATTGAACGTAGGTTTCGATCTTATCTAGAAAACGAAAACTACAATTCTATTTGTCATGAAATGATATATTCCTTCAATCTAAATTTTATCTTTGCTTCGAGCCATCTTTGATCGTATATATATACTAAGTATAGTAAACTGTCCAATTGAGATAAAAAGAAATCCCTGTATTAAATAAAATTTTAAATAATTCTTATTTTTTTTTAAATATCCTACTTGTTTATTACCTTAGAATTTTATAAATATTTTGTTCTCTGCTATAGATTGATATTTTGAGATGCTAATAGGTTGAGGGCAAAAATCTTTGGCGTATAAAATAACTAGTTCTTAAAAGTAGATAGCGGTAGAGTAGTTTTATAGTTAATTCTAAGACGAAGTTAATATAGTAATAATACTAAACGCATACAAACTTAGAACGAACGAATGTCGATGTTTATTTTATATAAAATAACTATTTTTCAAATGAGTTGTTAACGCGTATTAAAATATATATACATTTTTTAACTTTAATTCTCTTTAGTACAGTGAATCATGTTTTCGCAGAAATTCTTGCAGAATAATAAAATTTCAAGTTTAAAGTGTAGTCATGTAATGAAAAGATATTTGAAAGAAGCAATTACACTTCCTCCAATTTCTCAAGAGACAAAATTGGCATTATTCCGAAAGCAAAAACCTGAGAGAATATCTTTTTTAAGAGCTTTAATTCTAGGAAAGATTGATAATGAGACTTTTACTTATCCAGAACTAGATTCTCCTAGATATGAAGATTATTGCAAATGGATAAATCCTATCGAAAATTACATCTCAAATTGTGTTAATAAAAAAATGGATAAAAAAGAGATATTGGACAACCTTAGAGACCTCGAAGTATTCAGAACACATATTAATAACAAATATTTTGGTTTAACTTTGTCAAACACAGAAACATTGCAACTGGTAGAGATACTTAGTAACTTGCCTTGGTTGGGTACTTATGCATTGAAGAATCATATTATACCAGTCGAAATAATTAATAAATATGGGTCAGAAAGTCAAAAGCTTGAATATTTCCCAAGAATTATGAGTGGTGACATAATTCCTACAATATGTATATATGAAGGTGGCTATGGAACGAATATTAATAGTATTAAAACTTTCATGATGCAACAAACAACAGATTCATGGATATTAAATGGTGAAAAAGAATTTGTTGTTAATGGGATAAATTCAAATCTGTTTTTAGTCTTTACAAAATATGTAGCACCTGTTACAGGAAAAATTAAATCAGATTCGTTCTCTTTATTGTTAGTTGAACGAGATTTTGGAAACATAAGTTGTACAAACGTGTGTGATACAATTGGTAGACATGAAACACCTACCTGTACAATTAAATTTAATGATACAGTAGTACCTCATAAAAACATTATAGGTACACCTGGTGGTGCTTTGGACATATTAATGGAATACTTGAAACCTGGACGACAACATATAACTGGTCAAGCAATTAGTATTTTAAGAAACTTTTTAAATCTAATAACATCAGATATTATACAAATGAAACATTTTGACAGAGATTTGCATACATTTGATATAGTAAAAAAAATCTTAGGTGAAATTACGTTTTCTTTGTATACTATGGAAAGTATGGCATATCTTACAACTGGAATGATAGATCAATATGAAAATATGAATGCTGATCTAGAACAAATCATTACCGAAACTTATTGTGCAAACAAGTGTTTGCAATGTGTTCAAGCAGGATTACAGTTAATGGGTGCAAAAAGTTACATGAATAATAAATCATATATAGATGCATTTCACGATGCCATGGCTTTAACAACAATGGATATAAATAATTTGGACTCTGTTACGTATGTAGCATCAAGTGTTTTCCAACTTTTAGGAAACAAAGTGACTGACCATATACATAAGAAAAGAAATATATTTCAATATCCTGTATATAATATGATAGATAAGATGCTTAATAAATATGCAATAAAATTAAATGCTGAGTATGTACATCCATCATACACTCTAACTCTAAATTGTTTGGAAGAGAGTATAAACAAATTTAAAAATAGTATTTTACTATTATTAGAAGAAAGAGGATCAGCAGTTATGGAACAATATTCAGATATGCTGAGGATAACATTTATATTAACAGAAATATATGCAACATTTGCTAACATAATACGTGCATCAAGATCATGTGCCATTGGTACTAGAAATTCAGATCTTGAAAAAGATTTAGTAACTCAAATGACATATTTGTCATATACTAAAATTTCTTTACTTAAAGAAGAAATAGACTTGACTAAGGCATTTAATGGTGATAGTTGTTATATAAGTATAATGGATCTTTCATATGAACATCATAAATATCCTTTGGCACATCCTTTAACCAAGACATTTTAAATATTAGGTTAACATATTTATTTGTGATAATATAATTTGTCAGTAATATGGATTATAGAAAAAAAAGTTTTTCAATTTTTAAATAATATATATAGAAAAAAAATTTTTTCAATTTTTAAATAATATATAAATAAGTAAGTAATATATAAATAAGTATTTTAATTAACAATTATGTATTTATGTGTAAGTAGTAATGTATAATATTTCTCCTTAGACTAAATTAAATTTAAAAGCAAAATAATGTCTCTTTTTTGTAACCCTAACAGAACATTTTAAAGAGGTATTTTCAATGAATCTTACATTATAGGAATTAGAATTTTATTTTTATATACCATTACTACGAATTCTAATATATACGCAAAAAGGTGGACGGTATTTCTCCTACGAAAAAATGCAACTATAAGTTCTAAAATTGGAAGTTCGAAATTCTATTAAATTTATTTTAGTATCACTATAATTTTTCTGCTTGAACAATAACATGTTCTTCTCTGTATAAATCCAGTGGAGACCAGCAACTTCTTATACAAGTATATATTAAAACAGTTCCAAATTCAATTTGAAAATCTTTTTCAACTCGTGGTTGTAGTATTAATTTAGAAATCAATGTAGGCAAAATTTGGACTTCAAATGTCATTTCACCTCCACAATGTCGACATTTCCCAATGCATTCACTGATAGGATATAAGAATAACGGCGCAAAGTTATCTCGAGAATACCTGAAATATAAAGCATGCGAAATTTAATTTCGATATAAAATATAAAATATAAAATATAAAACATAAAACTTAATTAATATTTATTTAACATATTCATGCTTTTACCGTAAAAGTTGGCCAGGATTCTTCTGTATTTGAGATATGAAATTATGAAACATTTCATCTCCATGCATTGGAATGGCTTTCTCATATTTTTCTGAATCTGTCTCTATAGTTTTACCCTCGTCTATGTCTGCTCTGGACTTTGACGATAAATCTGGATTTCTATATTGATATTCCAAGAGTAAATCACGTACATGTTGTGGCACATCTAGACTGCAATCTTCCTCTTCGACGGAAAGAAATATTTCAGCAAATGATAGTTTTGTATCGGCATTTGATTCTACTTGAATAGGAAATGGAGTTACTTCTTGCAATAAACTAATTAAATCACATTGAGGCTGTATTGGAGTATCAATACAAACAACTTCACTTTCTTCTCCGTCAATTTCAGCAGATGCTTGAGGAGAATCTAATCTACCTACTGCACCTACACCAACTGGAGATTCTATACTTGTTGGACTAAAATAAATCACATTTATTTTAAAACAGGTTGATTCTCAACTTCTATCCATTTCATACATACCTGTTTGCATTAGGATCATCGACATGTAACGCAGAGAATTCTTCTCTTATATTTTCATCTATATCTTTTTGCAAGGAGAAGTGAAAATCTGTCAAATTATTTGGCAATAAATTGTTTCCATTTTGTTCAGAATTATCATTTATGTTATCACCCCAGTCATCTGCATCTGACAACCATGACGTTGTAGATGGTACTACTATGTTACTACTGTCTAAAGCATTTGGCTTGCATTCATCTTCTGATACTTGAACTCTCAAACAAGTCCAACTCTCATTTTGATTCCAACAGTTTGGATTTATACATGTGAAAATATAAAGCGTTCGATGATATTTGGAGTTATCTAATGGAACATACAACTGAAGAGCCAGCAGCTGGTACAGTCTGCATAGTCTACACTGCGGTAATGACAGTACATTTTTTTCATAACAATTCTATAAACAAAAACATGTTTAATTCAATTTATACGAATGATGTGAAATACAATTTGTTGAGTTGAGAATTAATTCGAAAATAATTAATATCAGATTGTTTATCGATTTAAATCGCACTGTAAATACACAATATTATCTAATTACAGAGGAAAAGTAACTAGAAAAAATTCAAAGGATTCAAAAAATTTGATTAAATATTTTCTCTGAAAACCAAAAGACTCGATTAAGAAAACGCAAGTACTTAAAATCTGTTTTAAAAGAGCAAGAAGACTTACTGGAAATCCACCGATCTTATTTGTCATAAAATTAATGTTTGCTCGATGTTTGTCAGTGACATATTCGTCTTCGTATCCCAAGTATACCTTAGTCCGGTTATCACAAGCCATTAAGTTTGATTAGAATTATATTTCTTCATTGGAAGACTTCGTAATATAGAATAGAGAATATTTTAATTCTCAATTTGTAGTTGCATTTGACGGTGGACAGCTGACATGTATCAGTATTGGTTCACGCGTGCGCTTTTAACAGTATTCTATGGCTCTTATCGATTTTTGAATACTTTATGTATAAGTAAACATTACGTAAAAAAGCTACATTTTATTCCTATAGTCTGTGCTCTAATACGCTGAATGATGATGGTATTATAAACTATCATAAAGAAAGAATTAATTCAATTAGTTGAATTACTGACATAATCAAAGCGACATAACCACGTTAAACGTACAATTTCAATTTATCATTTGTAGTGCATTTTGCGATAACCATTGTAACCAATAACAATTCTTCCATCTTGAAACGATAAAATCCCTAGAAACGTAACTTTTTAACATCAAGCCAAATACACATTGAAATCTACTGTAAATAGAAACTGTAACAACGATATATAGAAAAAATGACAACAGTATGAGGAGCAGTATGAAATTAATTTTTATCTCAGATTAAATGAGTCGCAGCGTTCACATTATACGAAACTACGTATTTGAACGTAATGAAATCGTCGTTCATGAAAATACCGTAAGTTTGCAACAGAAGAGAAAGGCGAAGAAAAGTACGATGTTGCGATGAGAATCGTACTTCAGACTACCAACACGTCAGGATTGGTTGCAATTTGCGTTGTGCGTGACGTTTTTATGCACAGCCGCAGCTACTGCTCGAAAAAATCAACGACAAACGTGCGTAACAAGCGTATCTCGTTTCTTGAAATCGTCCCCTCGAGAGAAGCTCGGTCGAGAAATCGAAAACGCCGGAAGGATAAATTTAAATTGGACAACGAATATAGCGAACGAGAACTATTGGTTGGGATGTCCGATTTTAGTTTGTGACGTCATGCGCAAAACAGTTCATTCCTCATTCCCTCCGTATATCTATCCAGCTGTCCGTGGTTTGGCAGTCCGGTGAACGATATTTCTCAGGGTGATTGCTACGTAGGTTTCATGTTGGTGGTCTTTAGTACGAGCGACGAGTGGCAATTCAAGGTGTTAAAGTATTGATAGATGATCGAGTGCCAATCGGAAACCTGTTAGGTAGAACTAATTTTGAACAACCTATAACGGTATTGTATGATAGGGTGGCCTTCGGACTGACAAAAGGTAAAGACGTACGCAGCAGAAACAACTGGCATTTTTTTCGTGTGTGTGACGAGGTTGTACGAAGTAACTGTTGTCGTACAGCAGGACTGTTCGTTTCTTTTATCGGGCAACCAGCGTCAACGTGAACAATCGTTACATTCCGGGATTTATTTGCATCAACGATTTGGGAGCGACGAGCCCATTCGTGAGGGATGTCTACCCCCGCAAGAAGGAGACTAATGAGAGACTTTAAGAGGTATCGTCATTACCCAAGATTACTATGTCATCGTTTTCTGTGTCGCACATCGCCATTATAAATCATGTTTATATTTCTATTTTGCCACTTTCTATATGTATACGTCAGATCATTGAACAATTTTTCTCAGGACTCTTCCTTAGATTACACGACACGTTCGAACATCATTGTGTGCCTCACTAAGTTATTATTAGGAGTTTATAATAATTTATTACACTTCGTTCTTACACATCGACCATGATCTTACGATCGATTGATAAACTAGAGAATTCGTTTACCTCGAGAATTCGTTTATTCGACGAATATTTGGGGAATTACGCACAATTTATCGACGACCACGGTTTTGTTTATATTGTCACGTTTTCTCTCCAATTCTCACAAATATGTTCGTCGTGTGTGACAGTCTCTTTTTTTAAATTTTCATCATTTACGGATCTGTTGTTTTGTAAACGAAATAACAATCTAGATAGATCGCAAATCGTGTTTTGAAATTGTATTTTGATTTTCGTGCGATTCTTGTTATTTATTTCTTTCGTCACGATTCTTTTTTTTTATTCGTTTTTCAAAATAGTGAAGAACATGAATATATATACACAAGTATTAGACATTTTTTTATTATATATGTGTGTGGTATATTATTAAAAATTGTTTTATATAAAAAGGCATTGGCACGACATTGAAGCCTATAAAAAAGATCTAAATTTATACTCTTTGTATCAAACAACTTCCTGAATAAAATCTTATTAAAGTTCTATCAAAAATAACTTTTACCTTGGTGTTTTAGAGTGTTTATTTTTTAGCACAGAACCATTGCTTTTAAATCTATTTGTGTATTTTGTGTTATGTGATAACTTAATATTTTTATGAATAGATTACAAGAAGACCCACCTACTGGAGTATCTGGAGCACCTACAGACAATAATATTATGATATGGAATGCAGTTATATTTGGGTAAGAGTACAAAGGAATACTTTTCAAGTTAGCAATATAAATTTATAGTATCTTACAATAATATTGTTTATTATATTTTCAGACCACATGATACTCCATTTGAAGATGGTACTTTCAAACTTACAATAGAATTTACAGAAGAATATCCAAACAAACCACCTACAGTGAGATTTATTAGTAAGATGTTCCATCCCAATGTATATGCTGATGGAGGCATTTGTTTGGACATATTACAGAATCGTTGGAGCCCTACTTATGATGTATCTGCTATTTTAACATCTATACAGGTATTGAAAATATCTAATGACCTATATCAGTTTATGATTTAGTATATCACAAACATGTACAGTAATATTCTTAATTTTATGTCTTCTGTTCATTCTCATTAATTCATGTATTATCATGAAAACATATATTGCATGTTGAATTTCAAATGACACAATAATAATGAGACAGAAGCAAAAGAGGACATTTGTTCTGATAATTAACTAAGAGATATTAGTTTGAGACTTTTTTCTTTTATATATTTCATTTCTTATCCTGTAATGTGAAATAAGTAAAGTTTCTATATGGAAACTGCAAATATGTTTTGCATGGCAGTTACTAAATGTTTAGGATATTTTAAACAATCAAATACCTACTGCATCATATTTTCTGTTAAAAAGATTATGCTTTTTTTGCTCTTTTGTTTCATAGAAAATATATTAATGCCTGCTAAAGTTTCATATATCTAGATCTTCCTTTTTTTCTGTCAATTTTTATATAAAAACTCGAGAGATTCGTAAGTTTTTGTCTTAACAGCGGTTGCAATTCAGCAAAGTCTGATTTATTCAATTTGAAAGTTATTTGCATATAACGTTAGTATAAAATTTATGCTTATAATTTGTTTAACTTACCACAAGTGTACTTTTAATCACCAATACCAAATAAGAATATCATCTTATAATATAGCCATGCATCATTAAAAAGAAAATTTCGCGTAATGAGTATGACTTATGTGGTTGCAGTCGCTGTTAAGTGACCCGAACCCGAATTCGCCTGCCAACTCAATGGCAGCACAACTGTACAAAGAGAATCGACGTGAATACGAGAAGCGAGTGAAGGCTTGTGTGGAGCAGAGTTTTACGGATTAGTCGCAGGCGTTTCCACAATGCTGTTGCAGCATCACTCAGCCACCTACAGCTATCAAATACAGTGGAGAACGTGCAGCCTTATCAAGAAGCTAATGCTAAATATTAGCATGTTTCTTCCTAAAGCTCTATTGAACTACCACAATGTGCAACATTAGATCGAATTTTTACAATGTTGAGTAATAAATTATTATAAAATTGTGTATTTATTTATTTCGATGTTTGATAACAGATCGATTATTTCAATATTTGATTGAAATTATTAAGTAATATTAAAAACAGTAGAAAATAATTAATATTTGGCGGTTTTTGTTTCTGTACTACAAAGCAATGTCTTTCACAAGTATAGAACTATATTTCGATTAAATTGCAGTACTTCGTATAGTACATAAATTCACTTAAACGTATATACACATATATAAGTGTATATGTGTGCGTGCACACACACACGCACACACAACATAATAAATACATTACTTTATAATTTTATGATTTCTTTAAATTTTTGTGCTGTTTATGTTTAGAATAAACTTATGTTATATCATAACAAGGTCTATAAAATATTTGTTACAGTCCCTTTTGGATGAACCAAATCCAAATTCTCCAGCAAATTCATTAGCTGCGCAATTATATCAAGAAAATAAACGGGAATATGAGAAGAGAGTAGCTACTGTTGTTGAACAGTCTTGGTTGAATTTCCAAGAAAGTCACACAGAGGATGCCCGCTGACATTAAATATGGTTCATTCACTGTTTTTCATGAATTTTTAGAAGTTTATTCGATGCTCCTTCTTTTTTAATTTTTTAGAAATTTATGGCCTGAAATATTCTTTCTATATTACCGAAACACAACATTATATCCTCCACAACAAAATTTTTCTTATACATTTGATTTAGAAGTGCTATCTAATTTTATAATGTAGGAATAAAAAAAAAGGATTTATTTAATACTTATTATGTTTGAAATATATAAAAAATGTAGAGCACTGGAGTGATATGAAAATGTATTACGTATCATGTGATCTTTATCTGTAAACATTAATAAAATGTGTATTTCATTTTGCTCATTATAATTAGACTTTAGGAACTCTACACAAAAAAATTATAAAAATAAAAAAATATACGTATAATTACCAGTTTTGTTTTACTAATTAACCAAAATTAATTTACATTGTAACTAACAACTACGTACGTAAATATAAGATCTTCGTAAAATAATTTCGAATAAATTAAATTACTAATATATCCTAAGAAAACTGAAAAATAATTTTTGTTTCAACTACGACTACAATGTATAAATAATATAGTATAGTGTTAAAATCAATAATCAATTTAAATAATAATTATTAATAATTGTAATTTCCTAATAAAGTTGAAACATTATTCACAACAAGGTGTTAGTTTCCTACTACCAACAGGGAAAGGTAAAAAAAATCTAAAACAATTATCATAATAAAAATTATTAAATTTAATAAAAATATTAAAATTGTTTTTTATAAACATGTTCAATAAAAAAATTTCTTTTATAGTTATACGAAGCATCTATAAATTTTACAAAACAATGTGCTTTGAGTTTTTACTAGACTATGAAAAATTATAGCTTATCAAATATATTGTACATTGTATGTTGGAGAGAATTCACATTCTAAAAATACAGTAGTGATATGTACAAAGTAAATTATCATTAACAAAGAAAATTATATATAAAATGATACATATAACTCTTGTTCTACTGATTTTGTATATGCAAATTTATAAAATTCAGTGGCCATGAAGAATTTATATTTCTTAAATAATATAACAATTTTATAAATATTATTAATATATTTCGAATGGTAATCAAGAATTTTATCATAATGTACTAATTAAAAAAAATATCAATCTTTATTTTATTTATGATACAATTAATTTATATTACAAAAATTACTTTCTATCTTTTAATACTGCTATTGTAATTTGATTATGAAATATATATTTCAGACATTTACTATGGATGTATAGTAGTATTTATATATTGTACACGTTATTTAAAATGTGTAGGGGCCCACCAATCTTAATGTTTCGAATAAGTATAAAGCAATTTTAAAACATTTTACAGCACTCAAAATATCTATTTTTATCTCTAATTATTTACTGTTATCACAATATTTACAATAATGAATATTGTACAAATATAATTTATTTGTTATTATAGTTAATATATGATAATTTACATGCATGTTTATACAACAGTACATTTCATTCTGTGTATTTTTTTCATGAAACTATTATCATTCATTTCATCAATTATTACAAATCATTATGTTTAATAATACATTAAAAAGTACTTAATACTACAATCTATATCTTGAAAGCTGTTTTTAGTTTGAATTAAGTCTTCCAAAATATTTAAATTGTTCACCAACCTTCTCTTGCTACGATTTTTCTTCTTTTTCTTTATTATACCTTTCCAATTCTTTTAAAAATTGTGCTTTAGGTTTCATTACATTTGGCCTGTCTCCTCTACATTTAGGGCAAAACCATTTCCCTTTTGGCTTAGTACTTAATGAAACACATGAGAAATGGAACCATTCTATAGGGCATAAATCATTGTCACATAATATCATTTCTCCATATGATATTTGATCACAGAGACAATATGTTGGTTCATCTGGATCAATTGCAAGATCATCTTCTGGTGGTGGCGGAGTATCTTCACGATGCTGATTTTGCTGATTACCTTGCCTAGATTTCCTCTTCTTCTTTTTACCTGTATTGGCGCTAGTCGTTTTCTTTTGATTACCATTGCTCGCGTTTGACAAAGAATTAGAACGTGTCTCCGCCATGACGATCATGTCCATGGTATTCGAAGACTCGACTATCGTCTCTGTCCTTGTTCTTCTAGCTCTTTTTGGTTGTCTCTCTGAATTGTTTGCATTACCAGAAGAATTGGAATTTACATTAGCATTTGTCTCACGGACTGATTCACTACTTTCTTGTTCCTTCCCAAAATCTGTAACCATTTTAAAATGTAAAAGATTAATATATATTTACTTTCAAACAATCTGCACAAATAGAAAAAAAGTTACCAAGATTACGATAATCCAAATCTAATTGCCTAGATTTATTTTCAATAAGATCTTGAACTTGTTGAACTATTTGTAGTTTTTCATCTCCTATTTCTTGCGCTGCAATTAAGGCTTGTTGAACTCTTAAAAGTGCTCTTCTCTTAATTGCCAGATCTGTATCATTTCTTAATGCTTCTTGTTGCTGATCTACCTCCCGTAGGTATGCTAGATTAGATTTAAAAAAATAAACCACATAAAACATCTTGCAATTCTTGAGTTTATAAAAGTATAATAACATGAAATATATGTATGAAAATAAAGTTGTTTTGTCCTGTCTTGAACAATGCAATACAGAAAAATGTAAAATAACAGATTCACATCGAAATTCAATGTTTACTTTATTCAGAAATGTAATGTTTTTTATGTCTTAATGTTTTTTTATCTTGTTTTAATTACGTTATCTCAAACACATTTATGCATGATGTTACGCATTATATGCATTATATTTAATGTTTATGAATGTTTCAAATTATAAAAACAAAATCTTTGCGATGAGAATGTACAGGTGTATACTGAAGAAATTAATTAGAAATTGTTAATTTCAATTACTTTGACAAGTGGCATCGAGCTCCCGAAGCCGGGAAACGTGTCTCTGTAAATCATTCGGCAAGTTTTCCACACAGTCTAAATAATTTTCGATATACGTTGCGGAATATAACGCTTCGACAACAGCTTGATTTAACATCTTAGCTCCCTTACAAATTTCCCTCGGCAATCGAAAAATGCAAAAACGGTCTATTTGATGACAAATTCGTCCACTGTATTAGATTTTCTAGTTTGTCGCACCATTTATACAGGTGTCTATTATCACTTATTTTATAATTGCACGAGATCAATCGTACAGAACACAGGCAAATTGTTACACGATACAACTCTTTTTTTTCAGACACTATCTGTATTTATGACAAAGATCAAACATGGCTGCCGGTTTCCAAACGAGTCCCATAAGTTTTTTGTTTCAAAACACAACATAAAATCACCGTAAATGTCAGCTATTTCACTCGAAAAAAATTTCTACAAACATATTCCTGGACGAACAGCAATCATACGTGACACGTTATAAAACGTACATATAACACGTCCAAGCAGCAATTCACTACAAAAAATTTACAAGACTGGAACTTCAGAAATTTCAGTTATAGAACATCGTCGTTTCAACAAAGTAACTAAAGATTTTCACTGTTTCGTGATATTTAGAAATATTCTTTTCTTTCATACATAATACATTTAACAAGAGCAGTAGTTAGTGGTTATAAAGTTTGGTAATAAATCAACATCATTGAGATTACTACTAACGTTATTCCACACTATATTGATAATCTTCTGGTTATATTTATCGCAGAAAAATATTTCTTAAAATATTGTATTTTGTTTCATGCACTGACACTTCATCGTAGATTGTTCTTTCATGGCGAAGAATTTGTAATTTAGACGCTGATTTGACTAGCAATTCTGACGTCAAAATTCGCAGGGAGACCTACCAATCCTGTGTCACAACCCTATTTGATTTCGTTCGGTAGAAGAAAGAGTCGTGTTTGGGTTTCGTGTGCCGCAAAAACACAGTGACAATTGTTATTCCGGTAAATAATATCGGTCGTTCGAAAGATCTTTCAGTATCAAGATGACATCGACAGGGACGTTCCAAGGGTTCAGCGACGAGAAGAAGAAGTCCAGCAAGTATGTGACACGCTTGTTATTTATGATTTATTATTTGCAGAAATGTTGCACGAGAATTGTATTGTCCTTCTGCCAGTGGTGTATCGTTTATTTATTTTAAGCCACATCGAGGGAAAGTCATGATTTTCACGATCGAAATTCATCCTTCGCGTCAGTAATTATTATCGAAAGTATCGACAAAAGGTTTGATCGGTTTTTAACAGTTTGATTTTTATTATTATTCGATAGATTTTTTTAAAATTATTCATACGTTCTTAAGGATTTGAAGGAGATTATCCGTTTGTTCGGTTAAATAATTATCAAAGTAAATGAACGGCGTCTTGTTGGTTACTGACTTTTTTATTATGCACAGTGCGTCAGTTTGAACCGGTCATAACCGGACAATCCATGCACCTTTTTTCGTACTAACAGCGTTTGGACGGAATTGAAAATTGGAACATATATTTATTTATTTAATTTTTTTTTGTTTATTTGTCGTATACAGTTCGAAGAAAATTTCAATCAATTACTTGATATCATTAGTAAAACAAATGCGATAAGCTACATACACGAAATATATGTATGTGTGCATTTAATTCCAAATGTATGTATGTGTGCATTTAATTCCAACATCTGTTATCTTTTTATTGCATTATTGTTCAGAATGTAATTGCGATCCTTGGTTTTTTTTCTAAATGCTAGATTAAGTATGACTTGAAAAGATTAGTGTTCAGTCTGTTTACTACATTGATGAACACACAACTTTCGGTATCATTTTAATTGATTGCTGATGCGAGGATGTGCTCAATTATTTATAGACACAACGCGATATGTGTTTTTAACTGTTGCATCTGATAATTACAGATGTCGGTAACACGTTGAATAAAGCGTGCTAGCGGTTGCTAAGATGTGGCAACAGATTGCGCTTGATGTATCATTTATGGTGCGAATTTCAAAAAGCTGAAATCTCGAATCATCTTTCCTTTTTTTTTTTTTTTTTTTTAAATAAAAAAAGAACTATTTATATGAGTATTGAAAATGTCGAGCGGGAAATTTTTAAATAATTTATATTATCTTGCTATATTAAATATGGTCATTGGCACGTTTAGAGATTAATTACGATGATGCTAAATATTTGTACAAAATTACGACGTTTTCTCATAGAGTACGATGAATATTATTATTTTCATTCTATTTGTTATATGATATTTATATGAAGCCAGAGTCAGAGTTTTTACACGAATCAGAGTCATAATTAATAAAGTGATATAGCTTATGTAATCTTATTATCTAAGGTCTTGGTGAGTGAGTTTGTCTTAACGAGTATCGCATTTCAAGTCCGGCATTTTCAAGAAAAAAAATTAGCGGTTTACCGCGGGCATATGGCTAAACATCGCAAGGCATGTTTCTAATAAAGGGGCGCCTGATTATCTAATAAGAAGTTAAAAAAAAATGTACACAGTGTACAAAATGTACGGACGCTGATCGTTTCCGAGCGAAAGTGGATATTTTACGTGTTTGTATGATGCACGAACTCTTAATACGAACTTCTTGTAATAATGTCTACGATACAAGGCATAGACAGATTAAAATTGCCGGATGTCCGCTAATGATAATAGCAGAAAACGACAGGAGCTTAAGTTTCTTTTCCTGTTCTCGTAAGGAGTGTTTTTTTTTCTTTTCTTTTTTTTTCTTTTTTTTTTTTTTAGAAGTTATTTCTTTCCAAATACAATTACTCTGTGAACAGTGTTTTTCTTTTGTCATGAACATTTTCTCAGAACGCATGCGAATAACACGCAGACTTTTGAAGTATGCACGAGTCACGCTGTTCCAGGCTGACTCACCGGTCGTATAGTTCTTAGCGTGCCGCATAGAGGCGTGTACATTTAGGCTCGAAGCTTCATAATTGCACGTATATGATATTGTACCCACCCTTTGTTCTATCTCTTTCTGTCTGTTTCTGTTTTTTTCTCGTGTATTCGCAACGTTCGCTTTTATATCCCCTCGCATAATATGCAGACGGAGAACGAAATAGGGGGAATGATTCTCGGAATCGCAGGATTACCAGGAATTTTTATTTCTACCTTCTGTATATTTCATTTCATTTCGTCATTTCACGTTCTAACGTTCTAGTTTCAGTATATATCGCAATCGAGCTGGCTCATTGGTAGATTAATTTGAGTTGCAAAAACATACAGTCGCGATACTAGATTTAAAGCGATCGAAGCGCCAATCAGTTTAAAAATGGTGACGGATATGAGGAAGTTTGGACGAACGGCAGGAAACAAGGAGACATAGAATTTAATATAGCCATTTACGGTGGAAGGAAATGCAAGGTATTCTCGCGACGTGGAAAATCCGTAAGAGGCGCGATTTAAAGGATAAATATAACCACCGTCGCTGGCTAGACCGAGGCGGATAGCCGAAGGGAGTTGTCTCTGTAGATCACGGTGTGTCCGTGGTTGTGTACTTAAGGACATATGCCCCTCGAGACTGTCCCACGTAGTCTGGCCAGGCGTTGACTAAACCGGCTTAAGGCCTCATGCACACGTGCACACGAAGGATCGTTTCTCCTTAATACGTGTACGCAAGTTGGCGGCTGCGACGCCGCGCGTTGTCGAGCACTCGGCCGTCAGTGGATTTCACGATTGTGCAGAACGCGGCACGCTTCCTTCCCTGCTTCTCGCGACTTTTTGGAGGTGGCGCCTCCTCGTGTAGCGTGCGTGTAGCGAGTTTTCCCTCTGGTTTTCTGTTCGTCGGTCTTTCTCCCTCGTGCTCGGCAGCGCGTGCACGCGACAAGGAAAGAAACGGAAGAGGAGCCGAAGCTTGTGTGTTGTGTCGTGACCCAGCTTGATTGACCCACGTCGTAGACACGCTCGAACGTGCACAACCGGCACGAATCGTCCGCGTCGTGACATCGAAACCGCGTGGTCGTGCGATATTCCATTGAGGGCCTTGTAAACTCCAAGTTCGCCGTTTCGTCCGTCAATATTGAGGAAAGAATGTGGGCTGGTCAAGATGATACGCAGCGTTTCAAAACCAGGTTTGTGCAACAAGTATTTAAATGACGAACAGTTATTTCCTCTTTGACGAATTTCCGTCGATCGAAATCACAACGTGCAATCTTCTCCTCTTCCTCTTTCTTTTCTTTTTTCACGCGCTTTGACAAACTTCGTGCAAAAAAAAATAAAAAAACCTTTAAGAATGTAAAACCTTTCTCTTCGAGTTGTTGCTCGATCGAGCGACAAGGTTCGACGACCTCCTCTCTATCTCCATCAAAATTGCAGTTCCGTTGATGCGATAAAGTCGTTTAGATTGTCGCGGATTGAACGTGTTGGAATGGAGCGCGAATTGAACGAGTGGCGCGGTGTGTTACGTGTCCCCGCCTGTTGCTTTTCTCGCGTGTGCTCTCTCTCTCTTTCATTCTGCTTTACCGATCGGAATGCCCCTTTGTCGAAATTCGTTTGATTTCGCAGTTGCATCCTCGTGTGGTAGTCCAACGGTTCATTCAATACTATTATTCGGCACATCTGCCCGCGATCTCGATCGACATATGTTCCAGACGTTTCCAATAGAACGAACCTTCGTCGAACGGTCATTTAATTGCTCCAATTTGAAGGTTAATTATTTTCATTAGAATCACGCGTACACAGCGATGTGAGAAAGTATTTAACCTCTTGCGCTGGGGAATGACGTGCACGTCGAGAATTTTTAGTCCCAAAATTGCAATATTCCCTCAGTTTCAAATATATTTAAATATAACCCGGGCAAAACAAATAATAAACTTATTACTTCTTAGTAATTTCTTAGTATCAAGAAGATAGATAATAGTAAGAAGTATTAATACTTCTTAGTACTATTGTATACAGTTTGGTCACTCGTTATGGTCTGCGAATCAGTACAAGGGGTTAAGCTCTCCTAGATAGGCACTGCTATATATATAGAAAATTGTGGAAAACGAAAGTTTCAATTTTATTAAATTATCTATTACTCTGCGACGCGAAATCTGCGTAAAATTTTTGCTTTCTCGAAAACCAAGTTTTCTCGACAACCTTCAACGATTTCGTTACTCGTAATTATTCTCGTCGAGGCTTTTTTCAATCTCCTCCAGCGACGTAGGATCAACGTGAGCAAACGAGATTTCCTGACGGGACAAATTTCGATGTTAATCGGACCGCGTTTCAAGGAGAGCAGGAATTTCGAAGCCTGCAGTCTAGTTTCTATTTCTGCGAGGCTTCTGCGCGAGAGAACGAACAAGAACGGATCGGACGCACCGTTTCCAGACACGAAACAGTACAAAGGTTAATGCCAGTGTAATGAGAGCAACGAGTTACCGAGCAGACACACTTCCACCCCTTCTCGCGACTCTCTGTGTGCTCGCGCAGTCACGCGAGACTCACATTCGGAATTTCGAGTTTCGAGGAGATAGAGAAGGCGGCGTACCTTTCTTTT